CGGGGGCGGCCGCCCATGCCCGCCCCAATCAGCTCCTGCGGGAGCGGGGGAGGAGCTGGGCCCACGGCCGCCTCTTCCCCTTGCCCAGCAAAAATGGAGCCATCTCTGCGGCCAGCGCTCCCCACGCTGCTGCCCCATGGGGCGCGGCTGCATGGGCCCTGCTCTGCTCCCGGGCCAGCCCCTAGTACAGCACACCAGGATGGGTCCTGCGCTGCCCCAGTGCAGCCCCCCAGCTCATCCCTCTCCCCCAGGTCAGTCCCATAAGCAGCTTGCAGGGCTTGGAAGGAAGAGCGCAGCCTGGATAGTGCCCCATGCAAGGGGACGGCACCACCAGCATGACTGCCATGCAGCAGCTCAGTGCTGGCCCCCCGTCTGTGCCCGGGGTGGGGGGGCACCCAGCCCAGCTTGGGTCTGGCAAATCAGTGGAGGGGGGAGACCCAAAACCCACCCCACTTCCACTCACTGTGGAGCTTGAGCAATGCCCCGGGGCGCCGCTGGCCTGTGCAGGATCCCATGATTTGGCGTGTGGGAGGGTGGCTGGGTCACAGGTTTGGCATGGCACCGCTATCCCTTCCTGTCCCAGCCTGCTTCCAGGGACTGTCCCCAGCTGATTCATGCCCTGGGCCCTAATTGCTATTTACACAGTGGCACCGAGTTCGCTGAACTGAGGAAGGTGGTGGCTCTGGCCCCACTGGGGCACTGGCATGGCCAGAAGGGCACACGGCCCCAAAGATGCCAGGGAAAGGGCTGGAGGCTGCTGGTCCTGGCTGGGACTGGCTCCCAGGATGGCATGGAGAACAGGCCCAGCAGAGCAGGCACTCAGGGAATGGGATAACTCAATGGGAACTGGCACTCAAGGAGCTCAGACCTCGGCATCAAGCAGGCTCAGGAAGAACAAGCAGCAGAGACAGAGGGATCAAAGCTTCCTCCTGCGCCCATCCCTGCTGGCTTCAGTCACTGGAGACAGGGGGAACAGGTCTGTCAAGGCAGCCTCCTGCAGCAAGCGCTGCTGCTGCTGACTAATGCCAGGGTGGAGAGACTTCATGCAACAGCTCACTTCCTCTAGGTCCTACCACAAACAACGGCTGCCGCCACGGCCC